GGGCGTGGCCGAACCAGTGGTGATGGGTGGGCGGAGGACATGGAGTGGACGCGGCGGCTTGACCAAGGCTGGGACCTGCAGGTTGTGCGCAGGCACGCGCGCTCGCTCATGAATCGATACGACATTAGTCAGCTGTCGGTGAGTGTCATGGGTCGTTACAACATTAGCCAGCTGTTGGTGAGCGCAAAGGCTCTGTTAGACATTTGTTGACCAACTGTATGTAAGTGCGATGGGTCGTTGCACATTTGTTGACCAACTGTATGTAAGTGCGATGGGTCGTTGCACATTTGTTGACCAACTGTATGTAAGTGCGATGGGTTGTTGCACATTTGTTGACCAACTGTATGTAAGTGCGATGGGTCGTTGCACATTTGTTGACCGACTGTATGTAAGTGCGATGGGTCGTTGCACATTTGATGACCAACTGTATGTGAGTGTGATGGGTCGTTGCACATGTGTTGGCCAACTGTATGTAAGTGCGATGGGTCGTTGCACATTTGTTGACCAACCGTATGTAAGTGCGATGGGTTGTTGCACATTTGTTGACCAACTGTATGTAAGTGCGATGGGTTGTTGCAACATTTGTCAACTGTCGGTGAGTGCAATTGATCCATGGAAAGTATCCAATTGATCCATGCAAAGTATTCAAGAAATCATTGACTGCAATGGAACGGCATGATTTTGGTCAGTTGTTGGTGAGTGCGGCTGCTTTTGTGAGCATGTATGCAATTCTTTCAAGCGTCGCTGAGTGTGAACACACTTGCTGAGTGGGGCTGCTGAGGGGGCCGGGTCAGACCAAGTACCAACGAACTGTTGTAAGTGCTGTGCTTGCGTGTGTTGCATGGAGCTGCCCCGCAGTTGTGGCAAACCTTGACAAAGTGATTGATAAGCATGAATCCACTTCATGTCGAATCCTGGTGCTGTGTTTCAAGCCCATCCACATGGTCTTCTAAGCCTGACGCGCACACATGAATTTGCACTGAGCAAAGGAATAAAAGGCACAGCTTTTCTGCGAAGGGCGGACATGCAGACCGAGCGTGCAGCAGGGTCTACCAAAGTCAGCTCAGCACTGGAAAAATACTGTTTCTACTAGCTTACAGGTCAAATGCCCAAAATTGGCAGAAGTGGGCTGGCAAATGGCAGGTCACACAGGGCTGCAGCAATCCCATGGACGAGCAAGAGTCAAGCGTTGCTTTATGAGCATTCCCTTTGAAATCACTGGACGTCTTGTCCGCTTGTCCGAGATCAATCCTCAATATAAAATCCAGAGACAATATATCTCAAGTGTATGTTCCTCTGTGTGTCCCTTGTTTTGAGTCGCTCAAAAGATCAACTCTGTGCACCTTGCCTGTTGCCCGGCGCTTGGGGCCAACAGCACTTGTGTATACCTAGCGTTGATAAGGGTGCTTATGGCCTTCCTCGGTGCGTCCTGCAGAGTGGACGCGTAGCTACGTTGCGACTCTGGGCCTGCATGCAAGCACACCTTGCAGCAACATACTTAGACACCTTTTAGGCCACCTAGAAGGCGTGGGCTCCCAGACAGTGTTACAGCGGAAAATGACTAGTCCACTGTGGCGGATGCACATGTTGCGAATTACGTCGCATGTGTATGTACAACGTGACACTGAGCAAAGGACTGGCAAACACAGCAGATCTACGATGGCCGCAGCCATCATAGACAAGCAAGTGTCAAGCGTTGCTTCATGAGCACGCACACACTGTTGAGGTCACCGAACATCTTGTCTGCTTGTCCAACATCCTGATTTGTAACCATCAAGGATGACTTGCTTCTCATCTATGTGTCCCTTGCTTTGGTGGCTCAAAATATCATTAGTGCACGTCGCCTGCTGTCTCAATTGCTTTTCCTTTTATTTATTTATTTTATTTATTTGCAGCTCATAGGATCTCATTGTGATGCACATCGCCTGCCTTTTCTGAATCCTGTCCTTGCCTGAATCCTGAATCCCTGAATCCTGATGGCGTTCTGAATTTCTTGCCTTGAGTCAGGCGCCACAGCCTATGCCAAATTCGGGTGATATACTGCCGGACACTTTCAAACCACTTCTGAGTAGGGGGGGTTGCTTCTTTGGGTCAGTGGTCTTGTATGGCATGTTGGTGGCATCTGGATGAGGCTCAGGTGGAGCTCTGTGCATCAAAAACATGCATTTCTCTCATTTGGGCACACCAGTGCATTTTTTGAGGCAACATATGTTTAGTAAATAAGGAGCATCAGTTGTGCCCCATACCTGCACCTCTTGGTCACCCCTGGTAAGTGCCACTCTTGAGAGGGACCCTGCTTGGGCCCGAACTGCACCAGCGAGTGTTTGGGAAGCCTGCTGGTAATATTGCAAGTGATTTTGGGTTGTTGGGAGAACCCCTGATGCTCGTCAGTTTTTCATCGCACGGACAAGCACGCATGACCAAGAAGGTCTGGCCAGGCCTCGATAGGCCACCTCTGGGCCCGCTGTTTGTCCTGGCCGATGCCTGGGGCTATCATCATCAACATTGACACCACGGGCTGTGAAGATGGGCGCCTGGGAGGAGCTGCTGGGCTCCGCAAAGTCGTTGGAGCTAAAAACTGCCCAACTTTTGCTTGTGGGCACACATGCAAGGAATTCAATGTAGTTTTGATGGTATATGGTATAAAGAGCAAAGTTACTCGCTGGAGTATATGAATCTGGTTCGAATTTTGAAATGGAAGATTTTGCGATTTCCTGAAGTTGACAGCAAGTAACTTTATTTCAATTTAATCAAACATTCAATTTCTACCCTCAAATGACAGGCTGTCAGCGGAATTTGGGACGAAACAAGGATTTGAAATCCGGACCCCTTCCCAACACTCCGTTGAAGCGCCAAAATTTCATCAAATATTAATAGAAAGCCGTTCCCTGTCGTCATCACTCCTCTCGACTGGCTTTGGAGCACCCCCCCGGACAGCCCCCTGCCAGCTCGCATCAGGTGGCCACCAGTGCACTCAGGGACCATCCTGGGGTCCACCTGCAGGCTTGTGGGTGCAGCTGGAGGGTTAGGGCACACAGGGGGTGAGTTTTGCTGGCTGAGCGCGCAAACATGCAGGCCTAGCACGCAGCAGGGTTCACTAAATGGGACCAGCTCAGCGCTGAAAAATCGCATTTTTTACCAGCTTTCAGGAGGTGTTCTCAGAATGGGCAGAGGTGGCCTGGCTGGCAAAAGGCAGGATATCACACATGGTTGTGGCGCCTGACCTTGAGTAACTTGCATGAATTCTGAATGAATTTTAAGTTCCTTGTTTTGCCTGCCTGTCCTGAATCATATCCTGAATCTGACAGGTGCTGGATGATGGTTCAGAGCACCAGCACCGTTACTCCCTGACGGCAGAGCTCAGCATCGTCGGCGAGGTAAGGACGGCGTGAGTTTGGGCCACCAGAGGGAGTTCATGGTATCCTAAGCTATTTCCAAGTTGAAGTGCTCTGCTGTGCGAGCAGTTGTGTTGTGCACCACTCTCTTGTTGCTGTTGCATGTCCTATTGGCGACAAAAAGTTGTGCAGGCATTGCAGAATATCCGTGCCCCACACCCAATGATTTGAAGTAGATGTAGCAAAGAAGGATGAGGTTCCTCCACCTTTGGGGTGCATGGGAGAAGCAGCCTGGCATTGACACTGCAGAGACAAATAGCTGGTGCGCTTACGACCCCTCAAGCATCGAGAGAGGATGCCTGCAATGCACCCAGGTTTTCAGGATAATGGGTATGCAGGTAGCAGTGGTGTCAGCAACACCATTCTGGTCTGCTGCCTTTCTTCCAAAATTGATTTCGAGGTTAGTTAAGGCTCTCATCATCACCCGCAGGAGGGACAATGCAGGCGGCAACAAAACAAGGATGCCTAGCTCAAACAAGGAAAAAAGTCCTAACACTCGGATCCGAAGCGGGGCTTGCAGATGATGGTCCAGCAAGCTTATTATTATTATTATTAGTTGCGGTTGTTCCAGCAACTTAATGACAGCCTGCCACTCTTTCAATTTTGAGTGTGCATCAGTCAATGGCATGCAGCATGTAGCATCCTGACACAAACACCCATCTCACCCAATCAGCAAAAGAACTCCGAGCACCCAGGTTGGAATCAGGGACTCGCAGCCAACATTTGACCATCACGTTCTGCCACTCTTTCAGACATGGTTTGAAGCCTTCACATCCTGCCACTCTTTCAGACATTGTTTGAAGCCAGGCAGGCCTTTTCTATGTGCCAGGTGGCTCTCTGGGAAAGCAAAACTAGTGCAGCAGCACATGCCTCTGACGCCCGACAAGGAAAAAGCGTACCATACCCGCATGTGACCAATATGCACCCTCTTAAAAAATAATTAGTTTTAGACACGCGCATCACTTACGCACCCACAGTAGAAGTTGTTTTTTTCAAATTCGCGCACATACGCAGTGCAAAAGGGCCTTAGCCCACACA